TTTTTTTTTTTTTTTTTTTTTTTTTTTTTAGTGAATTGTATATTCCTGTATTTTTTCCCATTTTTCTAGTGATGTTTTAGCCCTTTGTCAACTTCTAAAAAGTTTCTTATGTATTTGGATATTGTCCCTTTGTCCCATTGTTGCCTGAAAGATTTTTTTCCTTTTCTTTTCTTTCAGTTTCCATGTAGAAGGGCCTGTGTGTTCTCTTCGTTTTTTGGTAATGACTTTTATTAGCTTATAGTATTGTAGTCAGAATGGAGCTTATTATTTCTTATAATGGGACATACTTCTTATTTCTTCTTTATGGAGAGTACTTATGTGTTGCCGAGTCTTTAAGAAGAAAATGTATTTTATATTGTCAGGGGAGATATATGTATATGGCTATCAACTTTCCTTTATTAGTTATGTTGTTTAGCTCTTCTATCTTCTTAAGTTGATTTTGTTTACTTGATTTTATCATAAGAATGGTATATTAAATTCTTATATTATTAGTGTTTCTAAGTGTCCTTTTCATCTCCTATGGATTTTAGTTTTTTTCCCTTTCTTCCTCTCCTCCCCACCCCCCCTCCCCCCCGCTGGCTGCTTAGAGTTTATTTTCCATGTGGTGCAGCGCACATGATTATAGTGTGTCAGGAAGGCTTGGGTGTGTCTTGGATAGTAAAGAGTGGGGTTCTCTCAACTTCCTTTTAAATGTTTTGCTGTTTTGATATGAAAGAACCCAATTGCTTCTGCTTGCTGCATCCTGCCTGGTCTACAGGGAGGGTAATGGTGGGACTCTGATGAGCCTAGCACCTCCCGAAGACTGGTGGTGACCACTCAGGATCGGGGTGTGGTGTGCCTTTGCCAGGCTGACCACTAGGCTGCTTGCTCATAATAGCTTCCAGAGCCATGTCAAAGATGATCATGCTGCTGGAGGCCCGGGGAGATTCCAGGGATTCTAGGGACTCCCAACACGGTAGCCATGAACTGGAAAATGGACTTCTTCTATGGATTTTTTCTGAATAAGCGTGATTTCTGTCTTATTTGATTTGTAAACATTGGTTAGTACTGTGTATTCATAATGACTTGCAAACTTGATAATTAATATATCTTTTCCATGTTTAGTGGGTTTTTTTTTTTTTTTGGTTGAGTTTTACCTTTTCTAATTTCGTAATTACTGTGCTTAATTTTTTGTTTCTGCCTGTTATACTCTATTTTGTTCCTTTATTTTTAACATTATTTAAGGTGTGTTTCTTGTAAACAGCATGTAGTTAGTTGGGTCCTACTTTGTGATCATATTTAATGTTTTTGTTCTTTTTTTCTTTTAAGAGGTGAATCAAATCCATTCACGTGTATTGATAATGCCTGATATGTTTGGTCTCAACTCCACAATTGTATTTTGTAGTTATGGTTATTTTATATTCAGCTTATTTCTTTGTCCACCAGATATATTTTGTTTTATTGTGTTTTTCCTTTTAAATTATTTTTTTGCCTTTTAGAAAGATTCATATTTTTGTTTTAATAGTAACCTTTATTTTTACATCTTTTTAAATGTTATTTCACTGTTTTCTTATTTAACTTACTAGTTTGTTTTAAAGTGTTCTTTAAGTATTACTTATCATGTATACAGTAACCAATGTGTATATGTTCAACTTGCCACTTCTCCCTCTCCTTCCATTTCTTGTTCTGTTATTTCTACTTTTGTTTAGTGTCAAATCTACAATTTTATACATTAATGTGTTATTCATCATTAATGTGGTAGTTTTTCTTTTTTAGTTGAATATTTCCCAATTATGCTGTGCTTGAAGAAAGTTTATTCTTTGCTGAATTCTTCAAAATACTCATTAATGTGAAATCCCCTGTGTTCTTGTATGTTTACAACTTTTTCTGTAGACCTGATGATCAAAGGCCAGTGTTGCTGGATATAAAATTCTTGGTCCATACTTAAAAAAAAATTTTTTTTATTATTGAGTTGTCTGAAAACGTGGCTGCATTGTTGCCCTGTTTTGTATGTTGTTTTCAAGAGTTTGATTTGAGTCTAATTGCTTTGCCCTTCTAACTTATTTGGTCATTTTGCCTGGAGGCCTAAGAGATTTTTCCTCTTTATCTTTGAAGTCTGGTAGAGTTTTTCCCAGGATATGTCTTGTGTTTTGTCCTCCTAGGTGCATTTTCTCAGATGCTTATTTTATCTGGTGCCCATTAGTCCTGTTCCAGTGTTTTGTTTCTCCTCCTTTAGGGACTTCCAATTATATATATGTTATTCCTTCTTTGCATGGCTTCTATTTCCACCACTTTCTCTCAGACTTTTCTTTCTTCACCTCATTGTTCTTATCTTGGTTGTCTTCCTGCTTTTATTTAATGCCCCTTATTAAATCCTCATTGAGGCTGTTACCTCCTGCATACTTTGCAATTTAGACTTCCATTCTGAGATAGTTTTCTTCTATTTCCTTCCTGAGTTCAGTCAACTCTCTTTTCATTTCTTCCTGCTTTTCATACAGTTTTGTTCTTAATTTTTGGGTTTCTGACTCAAGCAATTATTTGTACTCCAAATGCTTGGTTTAGTGTATTAAATTTGCTTTTCAAGTAGTATGTTACCTTCTCCTTTTTCTTCTGCTTCTGCTTCTTGACTTTTTTTTTGGGAGGGGGGAAAGGATTAGATTTTCATCTATTGATCTGTTTTGAATGGTTTTCTGATTTTCTGGGGTAGGGGGTAGTAATAATTCTCTGTAGCTTTATTTCATTTTCTTCTGTTACTTTTTGTGGGTTTTGGTTGTTTAGAGGAAATTATAGTTGTCTGGTGCCCTCTTCTGTTAGTGTGGCGAAGTGTAGTCTTTAGTGGAATTTTTTGTTTTGGGTTTTTTGTTTGTTTTTTGGTAAGGTGGGTTGGGAATAGTTTTATAAATCCTCTTAAGTTTTTAGATTTGCTTTATTTTATGGAGTCCTAAGTTTTCTCTTTTGCCTCTTTTACTCTTCCCCCCTCAGTTGTCAAAGGATGTCTTTCATTGTTTTCACCTTCTTCTCTTCCATTGTAACCATGCCTTTGGAAGAGTGTCACTTTGACCTGGGCTTGCTTTTCAGTCCTTTTCTTGTGGTCCCTAGTCACATCCCCTAGAATAGTCATAGCAGTTTCACACTTAAGGTCACTTCCTCTTTCTGGTGGCTATTTTAGATCAAACTTAGTACCTCACTACTTCCCCTGTTCTCTCTTTCCCTCAATTTTTCTCCCCCTTACCTTTTTAACTTACAATCATTTTGAAAGTTGGGCATTGTCTGTTTTGTAATGAAAGCATGGTGTTTAATAGTTTTATTTGTTCTTTTTGTTGTTCTAAGTTACTGTTAAAGTAAGTGTTGAAAGACATAGACTTTGGCAGCTGCACTGTCTTCAGCTCTCATAGGACTAATTTGAGTTATAGGATAGTAGAATCTTTTTCTGAGATTTTCATTTGATTTTGCTGGCACTTAGAGGAGTTACCAGTCTGTAATTGCCTTAGTCCATTTTCACAGCCTGAGGTTCTCTGTCTTGCCCAGGTAAATGTGAGCCTTGACTATAAGTTTGACAAGAACTGATTTACTATTGTATTCATCCTTATCATGAGGAAGTGCTTTAGGGCTGTTTATTTGATAACCCAACTTGGTCAGATACTGTGGGCTTTTTACTTTAAACTTACTTGTCATGGTAAGCTGTCATGACCAATGTTCACCTTTTCAGTTGATACTTGGAGATGCAGATATTCTCAGTGTTTCTCTCTGGCTTATGCTGGGTTTTGTTTTCTGGTTTTGTGCTTTCTTGTAGAATTTTAAGTAATTCCTCTCTATTGTGTTACTTCTATACTTTTAAGAATTTTTGTATGTTTTAGTAGAAATATGAGGAGGTTTGGTTCTAATTATTCACCCCAATGTTACTAGAAACAGCAGTTGACTCAGTTTTTTTAAATTAAAACATTAAAAAAAATTATTTCATGGGACATTAGGTGGAAAGAATAATAGATTCATTTGCTCAGTTCTCCATCTTTAGTCCTCTCCTAGCTGAAGATCTATTTTGTTAAAGATGGGGACACTTTATTTTGTGGTAAAGCAGCTTATGACTAATAATAGCTGTGATTAATAATGAGGATTGTCTCGTATGGTTTGCCTCCCTTCTTGTCTGTAACTTTATTTTTTTCCTTGGGTCCTGAGAACAAACTGAGGGTTGATAGGGAGTGGGGGAGAGGGGAAAGTGGGTGATGGGCATTGAGGAGGGCTTTTGTTGGGATGAGCACTGGGTGTTGTATGGAAACCAATTTGTCAATAAATTATAATAAAAAATAATGTTGATTGTGATGATAATCACATTTTTTTTTAGGCATCGCAATGTGCCAGGTACTCTATGCTTTTCATATATTATTTTAATTATCACAAAGTATCTTAATTTAGTATTATTATTTCTACTTCACAAATCATTACCCAAGATTTCTTTACCATAACACTTGCCTGTGTTTACCTGGATAGTAAATGGCAAAATTATGTCCTGGGTTTTGGTGATAACAAGGTTAAGCAAAGCTCGGCATACTTCCTGACTTCATGAGCATTACAGAATTTAATTTTTGGATTATACTTTCTTACCTAGTCTCAGGTCACACTGTAAGGACACTGTAGGATGTAGGGATATAATTTTAGAGTCTGAAAACCTGATTCAGTGGTATTTGTATTAGCACTGAGGATAATGTCTGTTTTGAGGAAATGACTATAAATTAAGCCAAACTGAAATGAAGAGATGAGAAAAGATCATAACAGTGTTTTTTAATTCCCTAAAGACTCTCCATAACATGTGGCATAGTGCTTTGTTCAGAGTTGGTACCAAATGAATGTTAATTCCAGTATGTTGATTGGCTAGAAGACTTAATGGATTTTATTCTCATATTATGTTTTTTTCATGTAGACTGACCAGGATACTGTTATTTATTTATTTATTTATTTATTTATTTATTTATTTATTTATTTATTTATTTTACTTTATTTATCTTATTCCTCTTGATTTGCAGTTATTTACTGGCATAAAGGATGGAGAAAGCCTGCAGCTCTTTGAACAGAGTTCTCGTTCTGCCTGTAAACAGGAGACACATACCATGGAGGCCACAAAGCTCGTTGAATTTGACCTTAAGCAAACGCTTACCAGGCTTGTGACACATCTTTTTGGAGATGGTAGGTACTCATCTGCCTTTGTCTTCTGGGAGCTTAAATATTTAACAATTACCATCTTTCTGAAATCATTAAGGCTAGTTATGTTGGGGTGCCTGGTCAGCTTCGTCTGTAGAGCATGTGAGTCTTAATTTCAGGGTCATAAGTTTAAGACCCACGTTGGACATGGAGTCTGCTTTAAAAAAAAAGAAAAAAAGGCTAGTTGTGTTTAGATTTTTTGGTCTAAGTTGTGGCTTAGTGGTTCTGGTCCTCAGTGAAGTAGAACTTACAGATTTGCTGGTTCATTTCACTTGTGGAGCCAGAGGACATGAAAATGGAATTAGCTTGAGAAGGAAAAATGATTACAACCTTTGATAAGAATGAGAATGGATTAAGATCAGTGCAGAGAAAGTGTATAGGTTGATTAGTGTTATTCTTTTACCATACTATCATTAGGTCAGACTTGGATTGATGGGGCAAGATTCTCAACCATGTGAGTGGGCCCAGTGGAAAATTTTGTATGTTGACATACAGATTACTACTATCAATAGCAAACAGGTTAACAGTGAATGTCCTGGAGGAAGAACAGTCTTTTTAAGACCTGGATTCTCACTTCAGTCCTTGCTCTCCGTTATATCTCCAGGATAACCTTTTGTCTGTGATGCCCCCAATCCCTCTCACTATTTCTAATTTACTTGAGATATTATTTTGCTTATTTTTAGAAAGATGTAAAAAGAAGGTTAGGGGAATTTAAAAATTTTTGACCTGTATTTGAAAAGATGTTTAGAAGACAGAAGCCTAGCATGGTTAGGATTCTGTTTTATTCTCCTACTATTCTTTTTTTAAATTTATTTTTATTTTTTATTTTTGAAAATTTACATCCAAATTAGTTAGCATATAGTGAAACAATGATTTCAGGAATTGCATTCCTTAATACCCTTACCCATTTAAGCCCATCTCCCTCCTAACCCTTCAGCAACCCCTCAGTTTGTTCTCCATATTTATGGAGTCTCTTCTGTTTGTCCCCTCCTGTTTTATATTATTTTTTGTTTCCCTTCCCTTATGTTCATCTGTTTTGTCTCTTAAAGGCCTCATAGGGGTGAAGTCATATGATTTTTGTCTTTCTCTGGCTGACTAATTTCACTTAGCATAATACCCTCCAGGTTTATCCATGTAGCTGCAAATGGCAAGATTTCATTCTTTTTGATTGCCAAGTAATACTCCATTGTATATATACCACATTTTCTTTATCCATCCATTCATCCATTGATGGACATTTGGACTCTTTCCATACTTTGGCTATTGTTGATAGTGCTGCTATAACCATGGGGGTGCATGTGTCCCTTTGAAACAGCACACCAGTATCCTGTGAATAAATGCCTAGTAGTGCAATTGCTGGGTGCATTTAAGGGTTGTTCTAGTACTGATTTTTTCCCTCATACTTTTTTCCAGAGTGGCTGCACCAGCTTGTATTGCCGCCAACAATGCAAAAGTGATCCTCTTTCTCCACATCCTCGCTAACATCTGTTGTTGCCTGAGTTGTTAATGTTAGCCATTCTGACAGGTATGAGGTGGTATCTCATTGTGGTTTTGATTTGTATTTCCCTCATGATGAGTGACGTTGAGTATTTTTTCATGTGTCGGTTCGCCATCCGGATGTCTTCCTTGGAGAAGTGTCTATTCATGTCTTTTGCCCATTTCTTCACTGGATTATTTGATTTTTGGGTGTTTAGTTTGATAAGTTCTTTATAGATTTTGGCTACTCACCATTTATCTGATATGTCATTTGCAAATATCTTCTCCCATTCTGTCGGTTGCCTTTTAGTTTTGCTGATTGTTTCCTTTGCTG